AGCAGGGAGCCCGATGCGGGACTCGATCCCGGGACTCCAGGATCATGACCTGAGCCGAAGGCAGTCGCTTAACCAACTGAGCCACCCAGGCGCCCGGCCATTGGGAGCTCTTTAAGGTTGGTTCCTGTGACCCTTTGACACCCGCCCCTCCCCACCCTTCTGTCTTTTGAGCACTTCCTTACTTTACAACCCTACAAGATGCTCCAGGCGCCTCTTGATTTTTTTTTTCCTTGCTCCATCCCTAGAACTAGCCATTTCTTCAAGGAGCCCTGGTTTGGTTTTTGTTTGTTTCTTTGTTTTAGTTGTTGGGTCTTTTGGTTTAGGTTGGTTTTTTTTTTTTTTGAGAACAATATTTAGAAACCAAGGTCTGGTAATATGCATCAGCTATACTCAAAGAAAAAAACTGGAGGCACCTGGGGGGCTCAGTCGGTTAGCATCTGCTTTCAGCTCAGGTTGTGATCCCGGGGTCCTGGGATCGAGCCTCGAGTCAGGCTCCTTGCTCAGTGGGGAGCCTGCTTCTCCTTCTCTCTCTCTCTGACTCTTATGAATAAATAAATAAAATCTTTAAAAAAAAGAAAAAGAAAAAAATTAAAAAGGGAAACCAAGGTCTGGGTGCTGGGTGTGCTCATTGTTAAAAAAAATTTTTTTAAATCTCTCATTGTGATAAAATCTGAGTCACATAAAATTGACCATCGCCACCATTTTTAAATGTACAGTTCGGGGCTATTGGATACATTCGTAATGCTGTGCAATCTTTACCACCATCTCTCTCTATAACTCTTACCGTTTTATAAAACTGAACCTCTATACTCATTACACACTAATTCACCACTCTCCCCCTCCCCCCAGCCCCTGACTGCCACCCTCCTCCTTTCTGCCTCCATGATTTGGACTACTCTACATCAGTAGAGTATTTGTCTTTTTTGATGGCTTATTTCTCTTAGCATCATGTCCTCCAGGGTCATCCATGTTGTAGCATCTGTCAGAATTTCCTTCCTTTTTAAGGTTGAATGGTATACCACTGTATGGATCTACTACATTTTGCTTCTGCATTCCTCTGTCAGTGGACAGCTGGGTTGCTTCCGTGTTTCAGCTGCTGGGATGATGGCACAATGAACATGGGCATACTCGTATCTCTTTGAGATCCAGCTTTCAATGCTTTGGGATGTATACCCAGAAGAGGAATTGCTAGGTCCTATGGTAATTCTATTTTTAAGCTTTTGAGCAACCACCATGCTATTCCCCCCAAGGGTTCCCATTTCCCCACATCCTGGTTAACACTTGTTCTCTTCTGGGCTTTTGACAGTAGCTGTCTCCATGGGTGTGAGGTGGTATCTCACTGTACTATTGGCCTGTGTTTCCCTAATGATGAGTGATGTTGGGTG